ATAAATCCACAAAAGTCAAAGCTGCAAATGTGAAGGGTCAATTGTATTTATTTTTATTTTTTGCAGAGGAGCTATCCATTGCCCCTAAATAATGAAGCTCTGGATGAAGCATGTGCATTTGACTTGTATTTGACTGGCAAAACTATTGCTAAGCCAAATGCTCTGAAGTCAAAGTGTGCCTACATTTCTAAAGTATTGTTGGTGCCCTGGAGAGAGGGCAGAAGCAAGAGAGAAGTGGTGCCACGCAAATTATATTTCTCTCCCATTGCAAAACATAATGAGAGAGAACCATTTCAAACAACTCCAGATCTGAGGTGCAGCCACTGTAAACCATTATAGCACTTTTATACCATTTTTATTGATACACTTCCATGCTATGGAATTCCAGTATTTGTTTTTTTATTAGCTGCTGCTTATAATCATAGAATCATACCATTACAAGGGTCGTCCATTCCAAACGCCTGCCATGTAGAATACACAATTAAAATTCCCCTAACACATAACGATCTCATCTCTGTTAAAAAACTCTCAAAGAACGAGAGTTCATCATCCTCTAAGACAATCTATTCTTCTGTCAAACAATTTTTAAAGTCAAGAAGTTCTTCCTAATACTTTGGTAGAATTTATTTTCTTGTAAACTGAATTCACTGGTTTGTGTTCTCTGCAAGAGAGCTCTAATGCTGCAGTTCAGGGGAGTGCACTAGAGAATTCTAACTACAAGCTGCACTTCCCAGGATTCCATAGGATGGGGCGCTGACAGTTAAAGTGGTATCAAACTGCTTCACTTGTGCAGGGCGGCCTAGGGATGAGAAATCAATAAACCTTGATTTTGTTGAATTGCTGCAAATCCCACATCTCTTTTTCTGCTCATATCCTGCTCTTGGTTTATATCAGGTTGCAATATGTTACTTTTGCTATTGCACAGGAATAGCAAAATGCCCACCTTTGGGACCATTTAAATCTGTACTGCATTTTTATACATATTTGTGTAGGTGTATGATATTTTGGCATGCATTTTCCCCATTCACTGAAGCATATCTGAGCTACATTTTGAATTGTACGATTTTTTTTTATCATTAACAAGTTTAAAATGTATGCATATAAATTTTGTACACATTTATTTTTCCCGCTTGTACTACAAGTTTTGCATATGTGTAAATATCTAAGGCACCATATGCTTTGTCTTGCAGTGGCTCTTGGAAAGTGCAAAATGGCTGATGCTTTTACTGAGAATGTCAAACCCAGCAAAATAATTAATTTCCCACCCCCAACGTGACCTATATCTTTTATCATGTCAGGAGCATATGCAAAGGTGAGATTGAGAGAACTTCTTTGTTAAGTCAACTGGGACTTATGGTGACCCTACAAGTAAGAGATCTACAAGAACCCTGCTCAGGTCTTGCAAATCCAGTGCTATGATTTCCTTCACTGAATCAATCCATCTGTAGTGTAGTCTTCCTCTTTTTCTATTGCCTTCCATTTTACCAAGTATTGTTGTCTTTTCCAATGAGACATGTTTTGCCATGATATGTCCAATGTATGGCAGCCTCAGTGTAGCCATCTTGGCTTCTAGAAGAGAGTCCAGTCTGATTTTCTCCAAGACACTAATTTGCCTTCATAGTGGGTCCATGGCATTTGTAGAATTCTCCTCCAACACTGTCTTTCAAATGAGTTGATCTCCCTCTGGTCAGTTTTCTTCAATACAGGCAGATAATTCTCTGTGGCTTAAGAGACTGAGCCCTTTGTCACTGAGTTATAGTTCCTTCTCCCTCCATAGGAATTCCAGATAGTTCATCTAGAGACCAATGGATCCAACTCAAATAGCTTAATCATCCACTATCTAATACATTTTAAAAACATGACAAAAGAATGGAAAGTAGGAGCTGAGGATAGTTCTTTAGCTTCTGTGAAGATTTCTCCATCACAAATTACTTCTAGCTTCTAGTAACTATGGAATGAACTGCTGGGAGTCTAGCCTTAATTGAATACTTGTTTGTATTCACTGAAATGTGCAAAATATAAAGATGTCAGAGGTACATGGCAAATATCCCACCAGGCTGTATTATAATTACATCAACAATGAAAAATCAATATCATGGTTGAGAAAAAGAAAAGCTTGTGGCAAAAGGGAGGGATTGATAGTTGCCACCTAAGATTGTATGTTATTAATGAATAATTACAAGAGATTCATCACTAATATGGCAGGAAATGGGATCTGTCATATAAAGTGAATTAATAGATCAGTTCAATGCAGGTTGCCCAACACTGTCATCTATTGATTACCTGGTGTTAGACATAACATGGGAGTAATAAGAATCTGTAATGAATGGGTGTAGCAATGCTATCTCAAGTGTGAACATCTTATCATAATCCATTAGAACCCATTTGGGATGAAAGATTTATATGTATTTTTTCTTTTGATTAGTGAGAAAGGAAGAAGCTGCCAAAAGCTTATTTAGTTATTGAAAAAAAGCAAAATGAAAGGCTTGTATTGTAGTAAAATGAGGAGGATTGTTTTATCACACATTCTTACTATTGCAAATGGGCTCTGTACTCAGTTTATATATGTTTCAGCATTGCACTGAAATGTCACAAACTTAGGACCCTTCAGAACTGTCATGTACTGGCTGACCTTAGTTCAGAAATCCAAGCGTCAGTGCAAAAACAGCAGGTTTTATTCAGAAAACTGAAACAGTTCCTAGCATGGCAATGTTGGAACTAAAGTCATTTTGGTTACACAGTATACTAAAAGCACAGAGCAATAGAAACCCTTTAATGTACTCAAACACCATTCATTCCCACTCCAAAATATCCCTTTCCCCAGGACTGCACCATTGTTTTTCTCAGCACCATTCACAGCCTGGGGTAATGAACAAATGTATGGGGAGGAAGTATGTGCTACAAATTCCAAAGATGTTCTTGTAAGAAGTTGTTGCTTGGTACAGGGGGAAGAAGGAGGGGTAAGACCTGGGAAGCCAGTATGTTTTGAGTTGCTGACAAATGGGAGGAAGACACTTGTAACAGGTGAACTGTTTGTACTCTAAGGACTTTATCACATGGGGGAAATCTCTAGTTTATCCCATACAAATCCCGACAAAAATGCATAATTATGCGTAACGATTTCACACAACATCACACAAAAACTGCTATTAAAGTGGTCAGAAAGTGGTGTTATCCCAGATCTTTTTACTTTCAGGATTTTAGTGAAAATGCATTTTCAATATTACTGTAATTGCACATTTACTCTAGTGTGAAAGTCAAATTCGGTTTATTCACACAATAACCCTCCTTTAATTCTTTTTCCCAGTTTTCCCATGGTTCTGTAGGGCTGCTTTTGCTTCCTGTTTCGCTTGGGCGACAAACATGCCAGGCAGACATGAGCCTCTCTGCTTTCTCTTTCTGCACATGTTCAAGTATACCATTTCTAGTACATTTACAGATTTCTTTCACTTCTGTATGAAATGTAAAAACGCCTTTTTATCGCTTTTTGCATTATTTCATATTTATTCTAATTGCGTGTGAAATTCATTTGCATGATCAAGCTCTATTTTCGCTTTATTTTCAGGATGGTTTATTTGCGCTTTATTATCTTTTTAAAGACGAAACTGGCCCCCGTGTGATAAAGTCCCATGTATACTGTGTAATTGGAAAAAACCTTTCGGCCCTGACAACTATGTACTGTGATCTACTCTGCTTTCTGAATATGCTGAAGGCTTGTGCTCCTCAAGGGGAGTTAGCCTGTACATTACAGCATCCATACTACACACAAAAATAAAATCTCCA